CCTCCGCTCTCTAACTCCCCTTCCCCACCCACACCCCCTCCCCTACCCACTTTGATGCATTTTTCAAATTTCGCCTGGGGGCGGAGTTATTTAACATTGTGTAGGGGTTTGAGTACTACCGTGATCCCCGGGGCTATGTTGTCTGGGGCATTAGTCCCTGGTAGGGTCTCCCATGGCAAACAGGCTTTGGGGGAGGGATCAGACAAAGAGCGATACAGAATCCTTGATGAGGAAACATCACCCACATCAGGAAACAACTATAGGAGGCCACCTACACATGGACCCACCACACACGGGGAGGACCATCAAGGTCGGGTGCGATGTATGCCGAGCAGCAGGTGAAGGAGGATMCTGGCCATGCTGATTCCTGGCGACAAAGACTGGCTCTAGGGACTTGAAACATAACCTACCTCGCGGGTAAGGAGCCAGAGCTTGTGGGTGAGGTTGATTGTTACCAACTAGATAAAGTTGGCCTCAACTCACAGCTTGGGCTCTGAACCCTAACTCCTGGAGATAGGCTGGACTCCTACTCTRGAGTTGCCCAGGGAGAGAGGTGACGGGCAGGTGTGGGGATACTCACAAGCCCCAGGCTGTGTGCCTTGGTATTGGAGTTCACTCCAGTGGAAGAGAGGGTTGCTTCTATGTGTTGCAGGAGGGAAGGTTCTGTTGTTTGTGTTTATGCACAAAACACCAGTTCAGATTACACTGCCTTTTTGGGGTCTTTGGATGGTGTCCTGGAAGGGGTACCATCTGGAGACTCCGTTGTTCTGCTGGGTGACTTCAATGCCCATGTGGGCAACGACGGAGTTATCTGGAAGGRGGTGACTGGGAGGACCGACCTCCCTGATCTGAACTCGAACATGTTTTGCTTTTGGACTTCTGTGCCAAGCATGAATTGTCCATAACGAACACCTTATTTGAGCATAGGGTGGTCCATAAGTGTACTTAGTACCAGGCCACCTTAGGCCAAAGGTCAATGATCGATTTTGTAATCATGTCGTTGGACCTGCAGCCCTATGTATATGACATTCGGGTGAGGAGAGGGGCAGCGCTGTCAACACATCACCACCTGGTGGTGTGTTGGATCCGTTGGCGAGGGAGGCTGCCGGACAGACCTGGTAAACCCCAACGTATAGTGAGGGTAAACTGGGAATGTTTGGCGGAGCCCCCTGTCCGTGCAATCTTCAACTCCAACCTTTGGGAGAGTTTTTCACATGTCCCAGGGGAGGTCAGGGACATGGAATCTGAATGCACCATGTTCAGGGCCTCCATTGAAAATGCGCCTTCCAGGAGCTGTGACCTGAAGGTCATCGGTGCCTGTCACGGYGGCRACCAAAGGATGGACACCAAGGCTGATGGAGGCCATCAGGCTGAAGGAGTCCTTCCGGACTTGGCTTTTCGAGAAGAATCCTGAAGCAACTGACAGGTACAGGGTGGCAAAGGGAGTTGCAGCTTTGGCGGTTGCAGATGCAAACACTCGGGCATGGGAGGAGTTTGGAGAGGCCATGGAGAAAGACTTTCGATTGGCCTTGAGGAGGTTCTGGTAAAGCGTTCGACGACTCAGAAAAATCCTGTCTAAGGCTGTGGGAGGGGAACTGCTGACCACGACTGAGGATATTGTTGGGCGGTGGAAGGAACACTTTGAGGATCTCCTGAATCCACCMTTCATGTCCACCTTTGAGGAGGCAGAGTCTGAAGACTCAGGGGAAGATGAGTCCATTACCATGGCAGAGGTCACCGAGGTAGTCAAAAAGCTCCTAGGTGGCAGGGCCCCAGGGGTGAATGAGATTTGCCCCGAAATGCTGAAGGCTCTGGATGTTGTGGRGCTGTCATGGTTGACATGTCTCTTCAACATCGCATGGAGGACTAGGACAACTYCTATGGAGTGGCAGACCAGAGTGGTGGTTCCCATTTTTAAAAAGGGGAACCAGAGAGTGTGCTGTAACTATCGTGGGATCACACTTCTCACCCTCCCCGGGAAAGTTTACTCCAGGGTGTTGGAAGGGAGGCTCCGATTGATTGTCAATCCTCGGATTCAGGAGCAGCAGTGTGGCTTTCGTCCTGGACGTGGAACAGTGGTCTAGGTCTTTACCCTTGCAGAGTTGCTAAGGGGGTCATGTGAGTTTGCCTCTCTGGTCTACATACGTTTCTAGACTTGGAGAAGGCTTATGACTTTGTTTCTTGAGTAATTATGTGGTGTGTGCTGCAGGAGGATGGGATGTCTGGGTTGCTACTAAGAGTGATCCAGTCCCAGCTTGTTTTTAGTGCATGTTGGACTCCRCCAGGGCTGTCCCTTGTCTCCGATCTTGTTTGTAGTGTTTATGGCCAAGATTTCATGGCGTAGGTGTGGAGAGGAGGGTGTCTGGTTTTGGAACCACAGGGTCTCATCTCTGCTGTATGCAGTTCATGTGGTTCTGTTGGCATCTTTGGACAAAGACCTTCAGCATGCACTGTTGTTGTTCGCAGCCAAGTGTGAAGTGGCTGGGATGAAGGTCAGTTCCTCTAAGTCTGAGGCCATGGTTCTCGACTGAAAAAGGGTGGAATGCCCCCTCTGGGTCGGGGGAGTGTCTCTGTCTCAAGTGGAGGAGTTTAAGTATCTGGSTGTYTTGTACATGARTGATGGTAGGATGGAGCGGGAGATGGATCARTGGATTGKGGCCTCGTCCTCAGTAATGAGAGTGTTACTTCTGTCAGTCGTGGTGAAGAAAGAGCTGAGTCCAAAGGCAAAGGTCTCCATTTACTGGTCTGTCTTTGTTCCAACCCTCACCTATGGTCATGAGGCGTGGATCATGACTGAAAGAACGAGATCCCGGATACAAGCGGCCGAAATGAGCTTCCTTTGTTGGGTGGCCGGGCTCAACCTTAGAGATGGGGTGAGGAGCTCCGTCCTTCAGGGGGATCTGGGAGTAGAGCCGCTGCTCCTGTACATCGAAAGGAGTCAGTTGAGGTGGTTCAGACATCTGATTTGGATGCCTCCTGGGCGCCTCCCTTCAGAGGTGTTCTGGGCATGACCCACTGGTTGGAGGCCCCAGGGAAGACCCAGGACTCGCTCAAGGGATTATGTATCCTCTCTGGCCTGGGAATGCCTCGGGGTCCCCAAGGACAAGCTGGAAAGTGTCGCAGGGAGAGGGATGTCTGGGCTTCTCTCCTGGACCTGTTGCCTCCGTGACCTGACTACGGATAAGCGGAAGAAGATGTTGGAAAATGGAGTTTTAAGTTCTAACTCCAGCAGAACAAATAAATAAAATGTAGCTCTTATTATTTACTACTTGTTTTGTACAAACACAAATTTGCACAACTCACCTTCAATTATTGTAATAAATTTACATATTTGTGAATATTTGACTGCTTGATTAAATATTAATGTGAAGGACTCCTCATGATTATTATCAATAGTAGTTTATGGTAGTAGATAATCATAGATAATAAGGGATTAGAACTGTGTGCAGCAGCAGATGGATCTGAGTCCCAAATTCTCAGTTGAAAACATTCTGGAGCTCTTTTGTGTGTGATTGAAAATATGGATGGTTGGTTGTCTCTTCTGTGTCCCTAATGGAGACTGGAGACCCGTCCAGGTGTCCCCTGCCTTTCCCGGAAGGCAGGTGGGACAGGCTTCAGCCCCCACCTTGACACTGATTAGGAACAAGGACAGAGTGAATGGAGGATATTTTTTTAATAGCAAGAAACTATCCATCCATTCATCCATCCATTATTTATACCCGTTTCTTCCTTTAAGGGTCACGGGGGTCACTGGTGCCCATATCCAGCAGTCACAGAGCGAGGGGCAGGGTACACCCTGGACAGGTCGCAAGTCCATCACAGGGCCACACACAGAGACAAATGAGACAAACAACCATTCACTCTTTCACTCACACCTAGGGACAATTTAGTTATCAATTAACCTAACAATCATGTTTTTGGTCTGTGGGAGGAAACTATAGTTATAAAATTATAAAACATTATTTACTTTATGCTAATCTG